CTGTTGTGCTCGCATCTCTTGCAGCGTCTCATGCATGAAACGGCATACTAAAAACCGCGGTGCTCAATTTAAAAGAAGTTCATCTTCCTGCATTTTTCCCTATTCCACTGCCCGTGCCGCATCGTTGTCAACACAAAAGCACATTCTGTGTAAATGGCACCTAGTGATATATTCTACTTATGGTCCTTATGGCGCCGACATGCGGTTGGATCATTCTTTTCTCTTTACTGTTAACATTGGCATGTTGTCAAAGTGTCTAATTCTAATGTTTGGTAATATTTCTATTCAAAATCGTGATTCCTCGATTTATAAAAAATAAAATCGTGGCAAAACATTACATTCGAATGAATCAATAAAATCTTAAAAATCGCCCAGCCCTAATTTGATGTATGGGTGTTGCAATATACTGGTATTGACTATAACCATGAAAATATTGATATGTTAGGATGTGTTCACATTTACCATTGCTCTGTGAAATTTCCTGATTGAAATCCAGTCATTTGGGAATCTGCATCGAGAGTTTCGTGTGAAGGTGAAAAAGTTCACTTTGCAGATTTCACTTATGTTTAAGTTTGGTCATGCAAATTTGTTGTGTTGACCATCAGAAAACTGTTTGGTTTGAAAGTGACTTCTGTGTGATAAGTGCTGTATAGCCTACATCTCAATGGACAATGGACAGTAGATAATTTTTTAGATGCATGATTTTGCTAATGTGGTCGCACCTTTAATACTATGTATATGATAATATTGTAAGTAATCCAGTGGCAGTAATTGTTTGACACTCTAACATTGTTGGTGGCAGTATAGCTCGCAAGTGTGGGAATTTTTTATGTTCTGTAAAAAAAGACGGTATGTTAGTCTTGTACGCTTTTGTATAGTTATGGTTACAAATTCCTCTCTTTGCCTCCTTGCACTTGTGTTTTTAGTGTGATTCATTGACCAACAAAGAGCATACACAAAATAAGTTAAAAATGAATTTGATTGATAGCATAATTCTGTTTTTTTTTTAAATATCTATATAAGATCTATAAAAGATTGTTATTGTGAGTTGTTTTTGGCCATGATATTCATGTAGTGATATTATAGATTTGTTGGCCCTTAATTTAAATTCAATATGATTGTTCTAGTAGATTTTAATTGACACTGAAGAGTAAGTGCATTACAGATTATTTGTGTTGAGTGTGACCTTTCTGTTGCTCTCTCTCTTTTGAGCATCCTAAAGTCCCATCAGATTTTGGTGGGCGTAGCCCCTTCGCCCTCTGGGAGGGCTGTAGATAATTAAAAACCCTTATCTGTATGTGCTCGTGTGTAAACATAACTCCTTTTCTTCGTAGCATCCTTCTGTCGCCCTTTCCTTCAGACCCACATCAGGGATGAATCCCTCCATCTGTCCATAGAGGGATGAGGAGCGCAGGCTGTGCTAATGAAAGTGGAACAGGAGGATGTGTGCGTAAGCTTCTGTGTGTATGCGTGATTTCGCCTGTGCGGGTGTCAAAGAGTATGAGATTTTGTGACATGCTGTAATCAGAGTTGAATTGCACTGTTCTGAGATAATGCTCTTAGATCAGGGAGGATAAATTCGGGGATTGTTCAGATGCCCTTGGCCTCCCACCCCCTCCCACAGACATCTGATGAAATTCAAGGTCGAGTGTTTGCAAAGCCTGGAAAGGCTCCAGTCAAACAGTCTGGTCTTAGGTGAATTTAGTTGCTTATTCTTTGCCCATTGGTTATTTTTGGAACGTTGTCAATTAATGCCGCCAACAGGTCTCTGAGACCTTCACTTGACCTCATTTGACACTCAGATGGCCTGGAGTTTAGCTTGAAATGCAAAAAGTAGCATGAAAATAGTGAGTCTACCACTGCCAGCACCAACCCACCCAACTTGAATCCAGGATTTAAGCAGCCTGGTGTCAACTCAGTTTGCCATCCTGATGCCCAGTGTGGACCGTATGGTTTTTTGGCAATTGGTGCACATTTTACCCAGAAGCCAAGAATTAGACAGGCTTGATAAAGCAGATTCAATCTGAGATGTCAGAAGGCAACATATGCATGCAAATGCTCTCACAATGATGCTTAAGAAATCTTTTGACCAGAATTTGAAGTATTGATTGTTTTGTTTCATGTAGTTCAGAATGGACTTAAATCAATACACCTGTGTCCTGCTTTTTTGTCTTTAGTTTTCTTTAGCACAGAGCTCTTTCTAGTTCTGTAGTCCAGTTTTCAGGCGCTTTCAAAAATGCCTTTGACTCACAATTACACATTTTCTTGTTATTGCTGTGTTACTCTGATTATTTGTACTGGTTTTCTGGAAGCACAAAAGAAAATGCATCAAGTGAGACTTCACTGTCGCAGTTGTATCTTAGAAAGACAAAGAATTGGAATGAGAAGCATGAATATCCAATTATTTATCAAGTGAACACACACACAGCTTAAACCCTAAATGTGCAGTTTCCTCACATTCCCAGAGATGCTGCTTATGTGTGGTATTAAACACTAATTCATTAGCACTCTTTGATGTGGCTACTCAGCATGTGGTCTCCAGTCCATGTATATGTGTGTGTTGCAAGCAAGCTTTCCAATAGAAGAACTGGTTTTCAATTGGCAACATGCTGGACTGTTGGACGGTCTGGAGGTCAACCCATGTTTCCTGTTCAAGATATTGGGAATGCTGTATCTAGTCCAACTGGCAATCTCCTAAAGCAACCTATGGGAAGATGCTAGAATTATAAACCCCTGTTTTTAGATGACCTTGCTGATTAGCTGATCCTAAAGCACAGTGCTAGATGCGTTTTTAAATATTTTACCACCATGGATTGGCATGGATACTTGCTCTTAACATCTAACCATGCACAGAAAAGCCTCTATAAAACCAAGCTGCTTATTATTTTACAATAATTTGATATCTACACATTAATATTTCTGAGAGTTGTTGGAGCCATAGCCTAATGGTTAGTAAACATGCTACTGGTCCATTAAGCCATGGTATTTGTATGGGAGATGAAGTTTTAAGTCCTGATCCCATTTTTCCCCTCTTCTCTCCATATAGTTTCCCGGTGTCTCTGCTTTGTGTAAAAAAAAAAAAAAGAGTATTTAATTGTAGAGCTTCTGCATGTGATTGCTTTATGGGAAGGATGTTGATTCGTCTTTTGGCTATTATTTGAACCCGCCAACGAGTTGAGGGGTCATAATTTGTGTTTTGATTCAGCTTTACAAGACCACCATTTCCTCATGCATGTTTTTTTCCTCGGCTCACCTCTCCATTTTCTCCCACTTTAAATGTAATTGCTAGTAAATGATACCTGCTATAGTGTTTTGAAGTGGTTCTTTGCTAGACTTTTCTATCAGAGAACATTATCCCCCACTGCTCAGATTACACACACTACTATATTTCCAACCATTCTCTTCCATACACACGAACACAGCTGCATCAGGACCGTTCTCACGCAGAATGGAAAGTGTACCGAACTCTTTATTACTCTCCTATGCCACTGAGTGGGCTAACACTCCCTCCCCTAGTGCGTCTCTGCTTTCTGTTGCAATGGCTAATCATTACTGTGGAGTCCATACCCTTCACTCGGTATAACATCTTAATGCCCACTACAACAGCTAGGCAGTGATTTTCACATCTACTGTAAACCTCAGCCAGCCTAGCATACCACTACTAACTTGATCTACAGCTAAAAATACTGTTTATATAAATGACTCTGTTGTGCATTGATGTTCAAACTTTTATCATTTGTACTGCTCAACACTACAGACTACAGAGTCAAAAGTTACATATTTTACTCAAGTATAATAAGCAAATTCTGTTGTTTTTTTTGTCCCTTGTTTTTTGTGCAGCCATTAGCAATTCCTTATAATTGGCCCTGTGGTCCACCACTACTCAGACATTGCAGGCATGACTAGGGCTGAGATAATAAATCGATGCATCGCAAATCGAGAAATGATTCTGCATCGATTCTGAGATTTTCCAAAGGCATCGCGATTCTCTCTTGAATCGATTCTGAGATTTTCCAAAGGCATCGCGATTCTCTCTTGAATCGATTCTGAACTTAGGTTTTAACAGCAGATGGCACTGCGTGCTTTAGAAATAGCCGTATTCTGCTTGCTTCCATTTCCTTATACACGCACTACTTGAACCTAAAATAATCATTCATAAAGTTCAAAAGGTTGAAGCGAATTACAAGGATGTTCACAGTGGGCTGTGTTTACACTAATCTCACATCATAAAAGCCGATGTGCAAGTACATTTAATCACTTACATTACTCAGCCGAATGCACAAGCGCTCTTCTTCGTGAGCATTTGAGTGTGCGGTTAAAAACTAGCCTAGAGCATCATCTGCGGTTAAAAACTAAGCTCAGAATCGATTCGAGAGAGAATCGCGATGCATTCCGAAAATCTCAGAATCGATCCACGAATCGCGATGCATCGATTTATTGTCCCAGCCCTAGGCATGACTGTGAACTCTGCCAATCCTTCAGCTGTGTCAGCACTATCTGGAAAGATGGAAGAAAATCGGCAAAGCATGCAAATCGCATACTGAGGGGAAAGTCAGTTAGAGGGCCAGAGGTCCGGCTGGGAGGTGGGGCACAGGCAGAGAAATTGTGCCCATTCTAGCTGTTAGCTCCTGGGGCAAATGCATTATCCCATTGAGAATGGCATCCATTCATGCCAACTGTGCAAGGCCCCAGAGTGCCCTTTTTTCTCTTTCTAATTACTCATGCGCTTTTAAAATGGCAGGAAAACTGTCATGTGGCTTTAATAATTTGTCTTCCTTTCTCCTTCTCTGAGAATCTTTTGTGGAGGATACAGTGAATTGTGGTATCCAGTTTCATTGCTGTCGAAGCTAATGCTAATATCTTTAATGCTAACATTCTTCTGTTCTTTCTGTCTGTGCAGGTAGAGAATGTCCCCAACTTCACGAGAAGCCTGAATACTGATACAGAGCACAGGTAACAAGTAGTGGACAGAGACACTCTTCCCATAGGGCAACAGGACAATGGCTTCCCACAACAGGAGATTGAACTGTTTCACTTTTTCTTGCTGCATCATTGTCCTGCTGGTTCCCCTCGTGGCTACAAGGCCACAACAGCCTTCAGCGGCATCCAGAGTACATGAGGAATACAGCACATTCCAGGTGGAAAACCCTGAATGGACCTTTAACCATCTTGCGGTGGACCACAGAAATGGGAATGTGTACCTTGGGGCTGTGAACCGCATTTACAAACTCTCACCTGGGTTGGATGTACAGGTGTCACATCAGACTGGCCCAGATGAGGATAACCGGAACTGCTACCCGCCCCGAATAGTGCAGCCTTGTAGCGAACCACTCACGTTAACCAACAACGTCAATAAGATGCTGCTTATGGACTACCGTGAGAACCGGCTGTTGGCTTGCGGCAGCCTGTACCAGGGTATTTGCAAACTCCTCCGTCTGGATGATCTTTTTAAGCTTGGAGAGCCCTTCCATAAAAAAGAGCACTACCTCTCTGGTGTCAATGAGAGTGGCTCCGTTTTTGGGGTCATTGTGTCTTACGGTGACGCTTCACCTGATAAGCTATTCGTGGCCACAGCTGTCGACGGAAGACCGGAGTACTTCCCAACAATATCCAGTCGTAAGCTCACCCGTAACTCTGAGGAGGATGGGATGTTCGCCTACGTCTTCCACGATGAATTTGTTGCCTCCATGATTAAAATCCCATCGGATACATTCACGGTGGTACCAGACTTTGACATCTATTACATATATGGGTTTAGCAGTGGAAATTTTGTGTATTTTCTCACATTGCAACCCGAAATGGGAGGAGGCCCAACGACTGGGTCATCCTCGGCCGGGCGTGAACAGGTGTACACTTCCAAACTAGTGCGACTTTGCAAGGACGACACTGCGTTTAACTCATACGTTGAGGTTCCTCTTGGTTGCGTTAAGGGTGGGGTTGAGTATCGCCTACTGCAGGCGGCCTACCTTTCCAAGGCAGGTACCATTCTGGCACGTTCGCTGGGCATAGGACCCGATGATGACATCCTTTATGCTGTGTTCTCCAAAGGACAGAAAAGGAGGCCCAAGGAGTCATCTCAGGAGTCGGCTCTATGTGTGTTCACGCTCAAAGAAATTAATGAAAGAATTAAGGACCGGCTGCAGTCGTGCTATAAAGGAGAGGGAACCCTGGATCTTGCTTGGCTCAAAGTTAAAGACATCTCATGCAGTAGCGCAGTGAGTACATTCAGCACACCTGCCATTAGCAGAAAAATTCTACTTGTGACAGTAACTATAGTAACACTCTATGACTGACGATGATTGATGTGAACACTGCTATTACCGTATTGGCCTGAATATAAGACGACCGTGTTTTTTCAGATGTATTTCCAAGAAAAAAACATTGTCTTATATTCGGGTCAATACGGTACATTCAGAGCTAGTCATCAAATTGTATACAAATTGAAGTTTTTGAAACGAGACCATTCAAGTTTTTACCAGAGCTAGAGCTAATTTTGGTCGGATAAAGGCACACGTATGAGGTAGTGCCCACTAGCAATACAATACCACTTTTGATAAATTACCACTGGCTGTGTTTATAACAAGTCTTTTGATAACACAGGACAAGGTATCGAAATAAAGTGACATTTTTAATGGTTACCTGGAAACTGACTGTTTTGAAAGCAAGAATCTTGTATTTTAAGCTGTGGGTGTTTGGGCTAAATGAATTGGAGAATTTGTCTTTCCAATTTCAGTCTGAATTTTTATACCGATATTTAAAGAAGGACAATGATATCTTATCTTGCAGTAGATCTAATCACTATATCTGTATAAATGCAGTTTTTTGCAGGTAACTTTTTTTTGGGCCCATTTTTCTACTTTGAATTTCTCTTGAATTAATTCTCACAGCAGTGACAACATAATTGCTAATATTTTGGTTACCAACTTATGGCCGGTTCCAAGTAAAATAACTCATTTGATCCAGTAGTTTTTCCCTTTGTTCCACAAAATAAGGTTAAAATGTTTGTCACTTGTGTAAAACATCTCCTCTAGGCTAGGATACTCAGTGGGGATTCAGTTTTTCTAGGCCTTTTGATAAAACACAGCCAAGCTGTAAAAATGTGAAACCGCCTTACTCAAAGAATCAAACTATTATTATAATAACACTTTTTATTGAATTCCAGCCAGGGAATAAACAAACTATTACCTCACATACCGCTCAGCACCAGACCCAACAAATTCTTGCTCCTTTCAGGAACATCAGCGCTGGTTGAATGGAGTCAGGTCAACCGCTACAGCAATAGAATGAGCTGTTCAGGCATTTATAAGAAAGATTCCATGGTAATAGCACAAACTATTCCTTTGAAGTACCTTGGAGTAGCATGTAAATACCATATTAATACCATGTTATATGTCATCATATGATTTTACCATTACTGTTCCATGATACTGCCACTGTACCTTTTTTAAGGTGGTAAATGAGGTAACATGAGGGTTTCTGTGTAAAGGGTGCGATTTTTGTCAAGTTTTTCCTGATGTGGAGAGGATATGTGTGTGAACTGAGGTGGAAGTGAAACTGACACACACACACACACACACACACACACATACACACACTTACAGGCACTCACACACAAGAATAAATGTGAAGCAGACTGTGAGAGATTGCTGTCGTGATAAGTGTACGGCTAGAGAGAGAGGGAGGAAGGAAGGGAGTTTTGTTGAGGAATGGTGCCATTTTTGTGTGCGCTGCAGTATGGCCACTGCAGCATAAATTAAAGAGAAAGCGTCACAGTGAGGAGAGAGAGATGGATAGCCTGCGTCTCCTCCTCCGGTAACTATGGCTACTAGCTCGTTTAAAAGCCAGGCAAGTGTTTGATTGGGGAAGAGAAAAAAAAAACAAGTGAGCTCAAACACATTATATCTGAGACTGATAAATGCTCTGTTGCCGTTTAAATGATCTTCTCCGAGAGCTGTTAGATCTCGCACACAAATATGAACACAGAAATACACAAACACATGAATACACAGGCTTAATAAAGACAACATGAAATTAACTTTTCTCCTGTTTACTTTAATAAATATCCATGGTCTGCTATTCTGAAGAACACAGTATTTCATCAAAATTGGGGATACACAGTATATGTTTTTCGTTGTTGTTGTTGTTTTTAAATATATTGTTTTTAATTTATCTATCAATATTTTATCAAAATCTGTTTATTAAAATCTGTATCAAATCTTAAATGTTCTTTTTTTTGGTAAATTTATAATGTGATGTCCAAATTCACTCGTAGAGTAAAAAATTGTTGTTTTTATTTTTAGGTGTTTATTATTCATTTATTTTGACATGAATAATATTAATATTGACTAATTAAAATTGACTAATGAAAATGTTAAATGTCATGGCTGATAACCAATAATATTATTAATATTAATGTTTTATATTTATAACAATATATTTATTTATAATACTTTTTAATATTTATGCAGTTATATATTTATGTATTTATAATGTGTAATAGTTATAATATTTATGCTTAAAATATTATGACTTTCTCCACGTAATGAGCTGTCATGTCTGCAGATTTAACCAAGACTATGGTTGAGGAGAAAAATAACCTTAAATTATATCGTAACAATTTCCATTTTTTATGGTACAATTACTGTACATCCTAATGGATAAAACTGAGCCTCATCCTATATTTGCTTGCCACAGAATATTCTGTGTCATCTGAAAATGCGGTACATTATGGAAGTTGAATGCATTGTGAATGCTGTTTCATGTTGTCTTTCACAGTGAGCAGACTACATTAGGTATAAAGCAGCTTCCAAACACCCACAGGCAGAAGGAACAAGGGCACGATTGCGCTGACTCACCTATGAATAAAAGGACACGCTCATAGACGGATACATTCAGACACTCATGTGTTTCTGTAAAACAACCACAAATATATTCGAAAGTGTCCCAGGGCAAAAAAGAATGACATATCTTTCAGGCTGTTCTGTGACTGAAGTTAAACGATCTTGGGCTGCGGAATTCCCGTATCTGTGTTCAATGGGACTGCGTTGACAAGATAAAAAGTGGGGAATGACAGGAGTGAGAAAATGGCACATGAACCTGCTATCTTAGTGGGGGAGATGGATGTTTTGCTAATATAACTCGGATGATTTTACAAGAATTGCAGTTGTTGGTCTCAGATGTGTTTGTGTTTTCAATAATGCATGAAAAACTCACTGCTGCAGTTGTAACATTGCTGGAATATTGCACATCATCATTTACTGAGGGCACCAAACATATACAAGCTTCTCAGCACAAACCAAGAAGCAAGAACGAAAGAAAAAAGAAAAATATCTGGTAGCGACTCAGTAGCTTTTTGACTTTCCTGATATGAAAGTCTAATTAAGTAAGCAGAGTAGCGCAGTGAGATCAAGCAAGCCCTTCTTCATGAATGTGAAGATAACATTCTCTCAATATTCAGCCCTCTGCAAATATTACATCAACATGATAGTAATGCAGGTTCGGTGAAGATAGGAAAGTGATGTATATCTTAATATCCTCTCTGTGCCCTCTGCAAACGATAAGGATATTATGCTGTGAAAAATCATAGCATAATGTAAGCCTGGCTCATATGAGATAATATCTCTAGTTCTGTCCAAAATTCAGGTCTTTACTAGCAGTCATCGTGATGTATCATGTGCAGCTTTTTTATTATTTTAGATGTATATAAAAATAATATAGAAAAATATATGAACTATGATATAATGTTGCTGAGACCCAACAATAAAAATATTTGGCATGAATTCCATAATTATTTTAATGCTTTAATGGTGTTTCATGTTTTCTTTTTTTTTTCCAGTGTTTAAGATAGCATGTCAAGTTCAACTTAAAACTGTTAAACACATCCTGAGACACCTGTGTTCTGTAGCACTGTGTCTGTCTGTTTTAAACTTAAGATTCGTCCTCTGCAAGCAGCTTTTTCTGTCTTTTTTTATTTACAGTGATTGCTAATGTCACATTACCATAGTTTTACCGTAGAAATAACTAGTAACTATGGTTACCATGGTAAATTTAGTGTGTGTATGTGTCAGAAATTTATTTGCAGAGGCAGCAGCAGTACTCTGCTCTGCTGGCTCTTTCAAGCTCTCTGTTGCTCTCTTCTCTCATGGTGTGTGTTTTTCCCAATTAATGAACAGATGAGCAGCCCTACTGCTCATTAGGACAGTCAGACTGCATGAAGGGGCACTGTTAATGTCAAACATGACATGTGCACACACAAACTCACAAAAGAAAGGGTGTGCATTTCACCATGTGAGACAGAGTAGCCATCTTCATCAGTTCTTTAAAACAGACTTAGACTAACTCTTTTTAGATGGTGGTAATGAGTTGTCTGTCAAGCACATACACAGAGGCATGGCATGTCACACACAATGGTCATGCTGTCACCCTCTTTAGGAAGAGATTGTGTCTCTTTGAAATATGTACCACTACATGTGATATGAGCTCTTAATTATGTTCCATGCCCAGATGCAAAGGTGCCTCCTTTCTATTTTTTTTCTACTTAAATATTTATGTAATATTTATTATTATTATTAATATATATAACATGAGAATATATAATTTCCCCCCCCCACAGTCGAAGAAAGTATAATTTGCTCACAGCTTTACTCCCACAGGGTTACAACTGGCAGCTGTGTGCTGCTATTTAAAGATCAGATACACCAAAGGGGAATCCAAATGCAGAGGCAGAGATCTGAAGCTCACTCAAGACTACTGTAGCTTTGGTTGTGCCAAACATTTCTCAGACTTCCCAAGTGCCTTTGGGCCCAGACAGATGAGTGTTCAAACCTGAACAACAAAAGGCATTCTGATGTTTGTATTTATTTTTTGTTTTTTAAAGTGTATGGGGTTGATTTGTTATTGACTGGAACTTCACTGCCTGCCATGCTTTTTATTTCTAACAAAAACAAGTTAATTATAATGTTCCATTTGTTCCATCAAGGCCAAATATTTTAACTATTATTTACAAGGAATTCATTCATATTCATTGTGTCTTGTGTAGGGTTGGGTACCGAAACCCGGTACCAATATGGCACCGGTACCTATATAACTGCTATGTACTAGAACCGAATCAGAACGCAGATTTCGGTGCCTCATTTCGGTGCCATGCCTGAGCGATCGATTGAAATATTTGTCCTTTGGCTCTCCGAAACTGATGTAAGAAGCATCATCACCAGCA